AATGGTAATAATCTTTACAGTTTCTTCATGGTATTAGATTTTCTGGGAAAAAAAATACTGGACCAGATGTAACATATTCCTTTATATCCTCTAAAAGGGAATTATCTGAATCTCTATAAACCAAACGCTGTTCATTGACGTTATCGTAAAAAAAACTAAAATGGTCAAAGTACGACCGAACTCTATCCGACATTGACAGAATGCCAAAGAATGTTAGCCTGTTTGTTCAGTACACCACCGTATTTAATGTTTATTTTGGTAGTGATCAGTTTTAATAAAAATATATGTACATTACATGTATTAGTTATTTAAAATCAAAACCTTTCGACAAAAAAAAACAATTGTTTGAATTTGAATGTCGATGAAACGTATCAAAACTGATTGACCGTTTGACGTAGACAAGAAACATTTTATTAACTTATTATATAGTACAAGTCTAGTAAATAAACACAACTAATCTGAAACGTACTTTTATTGATGGCTCAAAGGGAAGTCAATAAAAAGTACTTTTTGAATATTAATGATACGTTTAGTAGTAATTTTATGATAATACACATTGCACATTCCATAAAGATTGACACAATTTTGCATAATTTTGAATGAGGCATATTTGTACTTAAAAACGACTGTGATGCACTGTAGCTTTGTATATTGATATGACCATTGTATTCATTTGGTGATTATTGAAGAAAAGTATACTATTTCTAACGTTTTGTTTTCGAATTGTTATAAACTCCTCACTACAAGACCAAACAAACTTATATTATTCGATTATGGCAAAAGAAGCACTTTCATCCAGAAACCAGTGTTGTAAAGATGTACTTCTATAACACAGTTACTGTAGTTTCTCATAGTCAATTTCTTTTTATATCTTAACATCTTACAGATAACGTTTAAAGTCTTGCTCGTAGGGGAATGCTAGTCTATTGGTAAATGTGTCGTGACCATCATAGGTTGGATGTGTGTCAGCAATTACTGTAGATGTCACTGACCAGTATTCAGTGTATCGTAGTATGTAAATACGATGTTGCCTGGTACAAATGGAAGGGAAGATCATTATTAAAACAGTTCAAGGGAGTAATTCAGGAAGAGAAAACAATAGTTTCTTATCTATCTATCATTTTTTTGTGGTACTCGATTTTTACTTTTCCTTGTTTCTCAAATTCATTTTAAAGTAGATAAAAAGTACAGATGATACCTAAAAAAGCACTGTTCATAACTTCGTGAGACAAGTTTAAAACATTTATTTGTAAAGAATATTCCAGCACGAATGTCATCATTGACCCTTAAGACATTAACATTAGAATATCGTTCAAAGAGTTAAACAAACTCTCAAACAAGAAAGATCTTGAAAATCAAAAGAAGCAAACCAGCTGACTAAACAAATATTTAATTTGCACTTCCATTTTTTATACTGTTTGTATCGTGCTTATAATCTGTTTGTTGTTCATGGCGGTGAACGTTTTAAGATTTGTATTTTCGGAATAAATTTATGTCACTAACAAACGACGACGGTGACGATTATTTAAAAAAAAGAAAGAATATACCTTGTTTGCAATCAAGCTCCATGTTCCAGAAAATAGACAACAATATTCCACAAAACACTGCATAGACAACGTAATTTTGAGCAGCGCAAAATATTACGTGCATGGAAAGTTCTAATCGATTTTAATAAAGGTCTGCAGCGGAGATATTTCTGTTTTAACACATTGTTACTGTTAAATTATTCTCCATATAGTCAATGCTGTATCTTGTAACAGGATATCGGAGACATTCATGATATTTCATTTTGAATAAAAACTACATATAAATCAATGAAATTTTAATTTTAGTTTCATTAGTGTTGTCATTGACACACGGAAAGAGAATTCGATTAATAGGATGAATGAGTTTTCTCATTGATTTTATATAAATAATAGGTATTAACAAAATGAATTTGTAAGACTTGAAATTTCACTCAATCTTATTATTTCAAGGAATTGTTGGGTTGCCTGCCCAAAAGCGTTGGAGGATATACAAAGTAACATTTAAATATAAATAAGAAGATGTGGTATGAGTGCCAATGAGACAACTATCCATCCAAGTCACAATGTGTAAAAAGTAAACAATTATAGGTCAAAGTACGGCCTTCAACACGGAGCCTTGGCTCATACCGAACAGCAAGCTTTAAAGGACCACAAAAAGACTAGTGTAAAACAATTCAAACAGGAAAACCAACGGTCTAATCTATATCTAAAAACGAGAAACGAGAAACGAGAAACACTTATGAACCACACCAACAAACGACTACCACGGGTTTAAACGTTTTAACAGGCGCCAACCTTCACCCTAACATGAAACAGTGGTATAACATTACAACATAAAAAGACACACAATAAAATATCAATTGAAATGGCTTAACTCGATCAAAAAGACAATACACAAAAACAAGTAAATATACACTGAACGAATAAGTTTGATCTATGACACAATATAAATAAAAGAACGGAGTTCCAATGTCCCCCGCGTTGCACATATTTTATATTTCCAAGCAGGGAATAAGACTAACATTTTCCAACTAGGGGCCCAACCTGCCACAATGTGAAAATCAACACTATGGGCATTTTAAAGAAAAATTTAGGACCCAACCCAAATTTTTTGTGGCATTGGCTATTGGGCCCCTGCTAATCGTTTTCCCTGTCAAGGGGCATAACTCTTTTTTAAAAAGTCAATCGTCCACCATCATAGAACATGTGCGAGATATTGCTGATATTAACTTATAGTATAAGTTTTATAAAAATCTGGCAAGAATTGTACCCGTGAGAGCGCTAACGAGGCCATTTTCCATAAATTTAATATTTCCAAGGGGCATAACTCTTTTAAAAAAGTCGATCGGCCACCATTATAGAACTTGTCCGAGATATTGCTGATATTAACCTATAATATAAGTTTTATAAAAATCTGGCAAGACTTGTACCCGTGAGAGCGCTAACGAGGCCATTTTCCATAAAATTATTATTTCCAAGGGACATAACTCTTTTTTTAAAAGTCGATCGTCCACCACGATAGAACTTGTCCGAGATATTACTGATATTAACCTATAGTATAAGTTTTATAAAAATTTGGCAAGACTTGTACCCGTGAGAGCGCTAACGAGGCCATTTTCCATTAATTTAGTATTTCCAAGGGGCATAACTCTTTTAAAAAAGTCGATCGTCCATAAATTTAATATTTCCAAGGGCATAACTCTTTTAAAAAAAGTCGATCGTCCACCATTACAGAACGTGTCCGAGATATTGCTGATATTAACCTATAGTATAATTTTTATAAAAATCTGGCAAGAATTGTACCCGTGATTGCGCTAACAAGACAGGACGGACGGACACATGGACGGACGGACGCCCGGTTTTTCCATGTTCCCCGCAATGAGTTACGCGGGGGACAATAAAAAAGATATTTCAATGTCAAAAAGACAACTTTAACCTCGGACAAATGGCGTTAAACAAAGTAACGTACACAGGTAAATTTAAATATAATAATTTTGTTGTTAGTGCAGAAACATTTTTTACAAAATAAATTTGTTATTCATAGCACGAGTACAAAAGTGAAATTATTTTCGTCATACTAAATACTTATCAAAGGTGGTACATATTAAAAATAGTAAGACGAGATATAACACAAAATAAGTAAACATTGAATAACAGAAATGCATTATAAATTGTGCCAACAGATCAAATAAACACGAAAGTACGAATAGAAAATAAACGTGGATGTGTATATATATACATCCCAAAAAAACGTCGAAAAGAATACAAATTTAGTTATGTTTTAATTTGTTGATGACAAAATCGATGTTAGTGCCAATGAAACCTTTTTTCAAAGATCTTATTACAACATTAGTAAGATAACCTTTATTAATAAGTTTGTTTAAAGGTTCGATAAATTTACACGGATCATATAGTGATTTCCGCGCTTTTAGTACAATATTACCGTAAAATTTAGGATGTGAAATACCATTTTTAATAAGTTTTCTACAGGTATAGCCAAATTTACTAATCAAATCTTTGTATCTCTGAAAGAATTTAGTAAATGTATTGCTAACGAAATCCCTGACTTAATAATTTACCAGTGATACATTGAATACGTTCGTTTACTACACACACGGGCATAACGAATGAGTTGGGATATGATGGAGCCAAAGCAACATCTCCGTCTAAAAAAGGAAAATTAACAATAGGAAATGAAAAATCGTCTCTTTTGTCATAAATTTTTGTATGGTGTTTACCTTTAGAAATTGAAATGTCTAAATCTAGAAAAGGACAACTACTGCTGTTTATGTTAGATTTTTTTAAAGTAAGTTCCTTTGGGTAAATTTCGGTAGTATATTTAGAGAATTCTGGATTGTTCATTTCAAAAATGTTATACAAAATGCTCAAAATCATGCAATCTTTTATTCAAAGTTATGGAGGGCAGATGCTAAAGAATATAGTCTAATTATAGTCTGAAATTCATCTCTGACATCAGACGACCTTTATAAGAATTTATAAGAATTTGCAGTGGCACCGCCACCCCCTACCCCACCCAACCACCACCACCACCACCACCAACAACAACAACAAAGACCGTCAGACGTCATGAGCAATCTCGGACGATTTGGAAAAGTGCTTTTGTGTCTTCAGTTTAAGACTCAAATTTAATTATCACGAAATCTTCCACTGATATTTGACCGTATTTAAAACAAAGTTACTACAGTGGGAAATCTAATATAAAAATACATCATTTTGCAAACGCTGACAAATGGACTCTTAAATGTTTGGCACGTTCTCAGCAAAGAAGCTTAATCGATTATAAAGTTACAAGATTGATTGATTGTTGCATACTTAACGTCCAATGGCAATTATTTCATGCACATACAAGACGAGAAACTTTTAACAATAGGCACGTTCTGCAAGGTTGGACGACAGGGATGAAGGCGGGAAATTTGGACTGCAACAGGAGAACAATGGTATGTTTATACTTACACGAGCAACACGACGGGTGCCGCATGTGGAGCAGGCTCTGCTTACCCTCCCAGAGCACCTGGGATCACCCCCAGTTTTTGGTGGTGTTCGTGTTGCACAGTCTTTAGTTTTCTATGTTGTGTTTTGTGAACTGTTGTTTGTCTGTTGGTCTTTTTCCTTTCCACATCTGACCAAAGGTGCCTGATATTTTATACATCTTGTACAGTCAAACGGACGTCCCACTTGGCAAGGTTTATCCCATACTGTCAGAAGAGGACCAAGGTGACCATATTTCTATGACCAAGTCACTCTTGTGGTTAGATTCACAAGACAGCGTGATGATAAATAGAAATGGTGAAAATAAATTAAAATAAAACAAAATTACCATATAAAGTTATCATTTCCCTCTTGATATAGCAAATGATTTGAACAACATGCTATATGAGTTTTGTAAAAAGTGGTTAAGAATGTTGCTATGCAAATCATGTACTGGTGTAAATTTCTACTGGCTGTTGGCCTACACGTAATTTCTACTGGCCGATGGCCTATACGTAATTTCTAAAGGCTGATGGCCTATACGTAATTTCTAATGGCTGATGGCCTATACGTAATTTCTACTGGCCGATGGCCTATACGTAATTTCTACCGGCTGATGGCCTATACGTAATTTCTACTGGCTGGTGGCCTATACGTAATTTCTACTGGCTGTTGGCCTATACGTAATTTCTAATGGCTGATGGCCTATACGTAATTTCTACTGGCTGTTGGCATATACGTAATTTCTACTGGCTGATGGCCTATACATAATTTCTACTGGCCGATGGCCTATAGATACGTCATTTCTACTGGCTGTTGACCTATACGTAATTTCTACTGGCTGTTGGCCTATACGTAATTTCTAATGGCTGATGGCCTATACGTAATTTCTACTGGCCGATGGCCTATACGTAATTTCTACTGGCTGTTGGCCTATACGTAATTTCTACTGGTCGATGGCCTATACGTAATTTCTACTGGCTGTTGGCCTATACGTAATTTCTACTGGTCGATGGCCTATACGTAATTTCTACTGGCTGTTGGCCTATACGTAATTTCTAATGGCTGATGGCCTATACGTAATTTCTACTGGCTGATGGCCTATACGTAATTTCTACTGGCTGATGGCCTATACGTAATTTCTACTGGCTGGTGGCCTATACGTAATTTCTACTGGCTGTTGACCTATACGTAATTTCTAATGGCTGATGGCCTATACGTAATTTCTAATGGCTGATGGCCTATACGTAATTTCTACTGGCCGATGGCCTATACGTAATTTCTACCGGCTGATGGCCTATACGTAATTTCTACTGGCTGGTGGCCTATACGTAATTTCTACTGGCTGTTGGCCTATACGTAATTTCTAATGGCTGATGGCCTATACGTAATTTCTACTGGCTGTTGGCCTATACGTAATTTCTACTGGCTGATGGCCTATACATAATTTCTACTGGCCGATGGCCTATAGATACGTCATTTCTACTGGCTGTTGACCTATACGTAATTTCTACTGGCTGTTGGCCTATACGTAATTTCTAATGGCTGATGGCCTATACGTAATTTTTACTGGCCGATGGCCTATACGTAATTTCTACTGGCTGTTGGCCTATACGTTATTTCTACTGGTCGATGGCCTATACGTAATTTCTACTGGCTGTTGGCCTATACGTAATTTCTACTGGTCGATGGCCTATACGTAATTTCTACTGGCTGTTGGCCTATACGTAATTTCTAATGGCTGATGGCCTATACGTAATTTCTACTGGCTGATGGCCTATACGTAATTTCTACTGGCTGATGGCCTATACGTAATTTCTACTGATTAACATTTTTTAATATATCAGTATAATTTATATGAAATGTATCAATCTTGCATTTCTCTTAATAAATAATGAAAATAAGACAAAATGTGTTTGCACGTGTATCTAAAATAACATATTTTAACATGATATTTTTGGAAATCCACGATTAAGGTTTAGAAATAAATTTAAATCAGTAAGTTTACCGATGTAAAAAAAAATATTGATTGTGTCACCTTTCACAAGAAGAGTTACTATTCTATTGTCCCAGTTTTCCAGATTGGTTCAGAAGACGATGAATAATTAACCTTTATTTTTTCTGAATGCCTAGTTGCTTACTCTTTAACGTTTATAGTAGATATCTTTTAATTCTTATGAATTCCCATTATATGTTGTAAAAAAAGAAAATGTACACCAATTGTTCATTTCGACATATTTTTTTTAAAGAACGATGCCCTGCACATTTTACTGAAAAGATAGAGCAAAATTCATATTTCTTTCAAATTGCGCTGGATTTTAAGATCATATTTAGATATTTGAATTTTTGTCTTCTTCAACAGTATCACACTTGTTCTTTTATGGAGTAACCAAAGGAAGACATAATCTTAAAAAAAAAAGGTAGCAACAAAACTTTCAATTGTAAATATCAAAACAAATAATTCATTTAATATCCTACCTTCAAATGTCGTTCCTCGATGTAATGTATATTATAAAACCAATATTTCAAATAAATAATTCACTGATGCGTTTAGCACTTATCAAACTCGATAGCTAGTGATTATTGTTGTCTGCTGAGGGAAATGTAGAATGGAGACATATTAACTAAATCATAAACACGATGTCGTAGTCCTTGACAAGTATAATCTGTATTTTCAAGTAAGATAAAATTTCGGATTTAACAGATTGGGATAGCTCCACGGAAATGTTCAAAAAGCAGCAAAAAAGAAATTCGCGTTAGCAACTATTTGGAAATTTATTGTGGAACAGATATATTAAAAAAACATCTCTGAAAAAATCACGAAAAACAACCGTTTCTTTCTTACCTAACGGATTCTACTGACAAAAGAAGTAGTTGCAAAATAGAAAAGGTAACATTCACGTTACTTACTTACTTTTATATTACTGAATGGTACACTATCTATATGATTAAGATCATGTTAGCCTATTTATCACAGTCTTGCTCATTTCGACGCATTTCTATATATAAATGGACCAATATGCACTATGTATTTGGAAGTATTGTCTTATTTTTTATGACAACTATCTTACCTTCTGATCGACCAATACTTTCATAGAAACTTCATACTCTTTCATGAACATCTAAGCCTTAGCTTTAAATGAACAAATACATTAATTAAATATGTTTTTAGAAAACTGCGTGTGTAGATCATATTAGATAAAAAGAGTGTTTGATATTGGCTCATATATATATATACAATTTATTATTCATTTTTTTTAAGTAACACTTGATCTGTTATTAGCTTAGAGATTGAGAAATATCGCGTAATATATTAAAATTCAATGTAAATCTTTAAATACAGAATGAAACCACTAATAACAATCGTGAGACTATAATTATATTCAAAACCAAGGTTAAAAATAAGAGATAAAAAAATTAGAAACTTCAAATCCAAACGGTAGAAGTAAGAACAAGCTTGCTCTTGTTATTTACCCCATGTGTTCTTTAATTCCCGTCCCTGTCTTGGTTCAAGTACTTTCTATGCTGCCAAACCTCAAATTAGTTTGACATTCATTTACGGTTTCAAAAGATTAAATGAATTTTTTATATGAACACAGCTTTGTATATTAAAATATAACACGTAACGTCTTCTAGTATTCAATATTACAAAGCAATTTGACAGAAAAAAATGTATAAAGATAATCATATGTCGCTAGTTTCATTACATATTATCACTGGGTCGATCCAACTGCTTGTTGACACTATAATTCATTATAGGGTATCATCCGCACAGTAGCCTTACATCATTCACTGTTCATAAACAGTAAGTTTTCCCGCCATTGTTTAAACTCCACTTCATCTAGGAGATTTGGGTTGTTGTCACAGTGACGTATTCCTCACATTTCCTTTTATTCATATTTCAAATTCCTTTAGAGAACGTTGAGCTGAAGGAAAAAAAAATATGTTGGAAGACATAAATTCCAACTATTCAAAGCTACTTACTAAACTATAAATGCTGGTTAATCCCGCCAAAGAAATACCAACAGATTTACTAATGGTATTTGCACCGTAAGGAAAGGGGATACAATTGCGATGCAGCCCTTTGCATTTAAAAATGTTTTATACTAAGTATAACATGTTCAAAATAATTAAATAAAGTATAAATTTATATATATGTTGGTTGAAAATAACCTATAGGTGAATAATTTTTGTTACATTGACTTTTATTTTATAATAAAATCCTCCCAAAGTGTTGACTGGGAAATTAAAATGTGACCAATTCTTGAGAACAGTAGTAAAACTAAAGAGAGTTGTTCGGGATGTATAAATACGCAGTCACGTCGGTTGCCTATAGTGTACATATGAATACCGTCATTCTCCTTGCACGTAAAAGAACCAGCTTCACAACTCATTCAAGTGCCCGTAGGTGTCCTGTTGCATGACAAATTTCTACCACTGTCTAATATACCCTCCTTATCTAGCGGCAGTCTAAACTGTCTGCCCTTCACTCCGGTTGACCAACTTTAAAGTACACACCTATTGGATGTTTTTTGTGTAATAGTTCTTGTCCTAAATATATACAGGCTGCAGCACAAGCGCTTTGGGGATGGACCCTCTTTTCAATCTTTCTTGTTTAATGCTTTTATGTGTTTATGATTTTATCATTCAAATTTCTTTTGTATTTGATTTATTTACCCTCCTCTTATGTGTTCTTGCTGTTCATAAATCTTACTAGAATTGTAATTTATACGTGCTGTCCCTCTTTTCTTATTTTCCACAAAACTACCATACAGCTCTTCGGCTCCGACACAATTAATGCACCATATTTTCACCAATCCTACAAGTTACACAAGTTTGAGCTTTCTAAAAAGCTGTGGACTGCTTCGCTCTATCCTAATTTAAGGTAATATGTGTGCATGTGGTTGTTGATTTAGTATTGGAAATGTGGTATTTTTAGATATTGATTGATATAAAATGGATTTACTTTAAGAGTGTGCGTTATACACCCATGTTTTTAAAATTTTGTTCTTTACTTGTTGAAAATTAAAACATTTACAAATAGACACGACTCTGGAGGTGTGCCTAGATTTGCAGAAGTTATAAAATACAGAAAATGCAATTTTGTAAACATTGTATAGGAACATTGTTTAGCAAAACAAATGGTGCATATTTCAGATTAACAAAGCAAATAAACACGTATTAATAATTGATATTTCAATATTGAATTTCAGTGTGCAATATATGCATAATAAAACGAACATGAATTAATGACAGTTGATCCGAACTGAAATACACATAGTTAATTTTCCTGCATTTGATGTGTTA